TCATTAGCATTTCATGTGTATTATAAGACCTTAATATTATGTAAAAATGTGTTTATTTCATAAAAATTAAGTGTTTGAAACTAATTTAAGTGACTTTCGCCTCAAGTCAAGCCTTTTTTTCCCTCAAATTTAAATTTATTCTTGTATAAATTGATGTTAACCTAATAAATATGTTGAATTAATAAATTATTTAGCATATCTTTATAAATTAATGGATTGCATTTGTGTTTCTATGCGTTTCCATATTTTTTCTGCGTTTCCATTGCGTTTCCGAAATGTTTCCGAAACGTTTTTATTTTTGAATTGACCGAAACGGTACTTCGAAACGAAATTTTGATCCTTGGTTTTAATGTTATACACCCACCGATAACCAACAACATGCTTATTGGTAGGTAAAAGTATAACATCCCATGTCCTAGTTTTATGTAGTGTAGAAAATTCTTTATTCATAGCCTGTTGCCAAATATGATTAAGAGTAGCCTCCTTATAGGAGGTAGGCTCAGACAGATAGTGAATAAAAGATACAAATAAACAAAAATAAGAGAAATAACAAATGTAAGAAAAACAAAGGTGATCAGGAGACTTACGAATGTGCTTAGGATAATGAGAAGGGGGACGATCCACATCACCAGAAGTTGATGGAGTTGTGTTTGAAAGAGGTAGAGGCATTGTACCTACAAAGGAGCTAGTCTTGTTCCTGTGAGAATAAGTGTGAACAATAGGAGGGTGTACAACTTGAGGAAGAAGAAGACTGAGCTGAAGAGCGAATGCAAAAAATGAGCATATCATGAATATAAGAATCTTCAGAAATATAATTCAAGTTAGATTTAGTAAATGTGCTAGAAGCAATGAGTATGAAAAAGAAGGGAATGCGCTCAAGAAACACATGTTTAGATACATATACTTTTTTTGCCACAGGGTCATAACAACGATATCTTTTTTTCCCCTCATCATAATCAAGAAAAACACATAGTAGAATGAACAGATAACTTATTTTGTTTAGCTTTAGAAAGAAGAACAGAATAAGTGCAACCAAAGACACGTAATGAGAAGAAGTTAAGAAGTTTACCATATAACAATTCAAAAGGAAAAACACTTAAAAAGTAATAATAAAAGAAATCAGATTAATGAGATGAATAGTTGTGAGACTTGTCTTCCCCCAAAAAGAGCTGGGAATAGATGTAAATAAAAGAAATGAACGAGCAGTCTCCATAATGTGTCTTTGCTTTTGCTTTGCCACACCATTTTGTTCATGAGTGTTTGCACTAGAGGATTGCTGAATAATTCTAACAGATTTTAATAAATCAAGAAAATCAGTATATTTATATTCACCACCCAAATTACACCGAAAGCATTTACTATTTGCAGAATATTGTGTTGAATCATGGAATGAAAAGCAACAAAGATAGAAAAATTCAGACTGCTACCGCATGAGATAAATCCTACAATATCGAGTGCAATCATTAATAAAAGAAATATAGTATTGAAACCCCCTCTTAGTGGCAATGGGGCTGGACCTCGCACATCATAATGCAAGAGGTCGAAAGGAGTAGAAGAAGCGGGACTAATTTTAAAAGGTAAAGTTGTGAATTTGGCAAGTTTACGACCACTTCAATTAGAAATATCCTGACTGCTTAAATTTTCTAAAGCACCAGTTGAGACTAAAAACTTCAAACGAGAACTAGAGATATGTCTAAGACGAGAATGCCATAAACAAAATACAGAAGCCTTAGGGTTCAAACGAAACGAAGAAAAATCAATAGAAGAAGTAATCACAGTTAGAACATCTAATTTCTCTAACTATATAGTCCTCTAACTGTACCGCCTATCCCAATTAGTTTTTTGGAATGTGGTTCTTGCACAATACAATTAGTAGAGAAGAATTGAATAGTGTAATCAAGATTACAGAGTTGACTAACAGAAATCAAGTTCAAAGATAGTTGAGGAATATAACACATGCATCGAATGCTTTCATACTACGCCTCCCAATGATATGGGAACGTCGTTAGCAATCATAAACCTCATGTGGAAATAATAAAGATGGATCATTAGTCATATAATGTGTAGCACGTGAATCAAATATCCAAGTGGATTGAGATGTAACTGAAAGAGTTGATGAAAACAAAGCTATGGGAGAAGAAACTGATAACACCTCATTTTGATGTGTAGAAAGAAGTTTCTGCAATTGTTCAGAAGTGAAAGTCAAAGAAGGGAATGATTGGTATTATGTCGATGGTTCAAAATCTGAATTTCCACTTGTCATAGTTTGAAATTGGTTTTTGTGAATTTTGGCCCGGAATTTGTAATTTCAAAACTTCTCATGCAGCAGCTAATTTTTTTTGAAAGTTTTGGGGCTAAATCTGCAATATGAGAAACTTGAAGTTACACAAACCCAGCAACAATCACAAGTTTGACCAACAAACAAAACCCTAGTTGATTGTTCACGCACTATTCACAAAACACTGTTCATGAAGCTCTGTTCACGGAATAGTGTTCACGAAGCACTATTCACGTGCACTGTTTATGAAATTGCAACTAAAACCCAAGAAAAAGAGAAGAACCTTGCTATGATACGATGACAATCTAGATCAAATCATGCAAAAGAAAATAACACCAGAAGAAAAGGAAGAGAGAAGAAACCATGCTACTGTTCTCTAATATTCCATAATGATAAATAACTAGTTACAAGAGACACTATATTTAAAACCCTCCACAAGAGAAAGAAAGATAGAAATACCCCTAATCATAGATAAATATGAATACAATCTTAACAATAGTGATGCTCCAAGGCAAGATATCATCGAAAATATAATGCAAGACATCTAAAGACCTTTATTGTCGTTGGCGTCATTGTCATTGGCTGATGTCATGTGAGTGTCAGCAATTTCTAGCATCGAAACCTTACCCTTTAGCTCAATTTTTTGAGCTGATCTTTTGGTATTTTTTTTAATTTTTTGAAGCCTCTTAATTAGATTTTCTTATTTTCGAATTTTTTCAAGAAAATAGGGTTAATTTTTTGACAGGTTCATTCAGTGGATGATAAGGCTTGTGTTAGGCGCTCATACTATTTGGTTTCCTTGAAATTGAGAATTTTGAAGTTGATAAAAACTTGCCCCTTGTTTCAATTAGAATGAGTCCCTAGGACCCGAGACATTGGCTTTTGCCAATATTGAAATATTAAGGATTGCATTCTACACATATTTTTATTATAGCTTGCAACTGATTCAGCTTTCGCTTCTGGGAGATCAAACGAAGGCAAATTACTTTTGCGAAATGGAATGGAAGCAATTATTATTCTTGGTCTCATGCTATTAAAGTTTTTTTATGAGCTAATAAGAAAGTCAAGTATTTGGTTCAAAGTCTTTCTATAAACTACAAGAATTTTGAAGATTAGTAGAGTGAGAATTCCTTAGTGATGATTTAGTTGTGGCTTCTAATGTTCAACTTCTTGACCCGGTCAATAAAATATGGGATTCATTTGAGGAGATATGCTCACAAGAATATAATGTACCAAGCATTTATGAAGTTTTTGAGCGTATACTTAATACCAATCAAGGTAATTACTCATTTGCTGAACATTATGACATTTTGAAATGGTTGCATGGAGAACTTATGCTTTATCAGCCATTGAGGACGAGTCTAGAAATACAATGATGATAACTTGAAGGGTTTCAAGTTGACTTGCTCTTGTCAAGCCTCAACTCTAAGTATGGTGTGTTTAAGGATTAGATTTTGGCTTGTCTTTGGTGCACTTCTCGTACTTGTTGGACTACTTCATGTTCATAGGAGTCTTTTGCCTTAATTACTAGTGATAGTTGTAATATTGCTTATGGTGGCTGTGGTGGTGGTCTTCATCTAACCCAAAATAGTAGTTGCAACGGTCGAGGCATTTGATCTGTGGTGGACATGGTGGTCGGAGTGGTCATGCCTATCGTTTCAGTGGAAATGTTCTCATTGGGGGTCACTAGACATATTGAGGAGTATTATCGGGAGAGTGACCTATGCTAATTAGGCTTTTGATGAGTCAGCACCACCTGTATCCCGGTTATCTATTGCTAGCTCTATTCCATCTACGGTTTGTTCTCATGATGACCTTACTGCTCCACTCAGTTAACTCATCCAACAATTATCTTCCTTCTCTTCTTAGTTGTCTACTTCTGTTGGTTTGACTAATGTAGGTAATTATGCACATGTAGCAGCACCATTGATTTCTTCATCTTGGATTATTGTTTCGGGAGCTAGTGCTCTCATGTCTTGTATTTCCTCTCTGCTTTTAAATATTTGCTTTTCTAACTCTAGGTACGTGGGATTGGTGTTTTCCATCGCACTCGGTCCATGTCATTAACACCTAGTTTACTTATTCTCTAGTTTCTTTTTAACTTATTATCTATTAGCCAGTTAACCAAGTTTTAAAGTTTTCAGTAACCTTTTCTCATTGTGTCCGGATCTCTAGACAAAAAAAGGTGATTAGTTTGAGACATGAGTAGAATGATATTTTGTTTTTGGATTCTAGAGAGCCCATTTCAGCTAAGTGTTACGGTGAATCTAGCCAGTTGCATTTTCAATTAAGTCATCCTTCAGTACAAAAGTTTCATTAAGTTAGTTCTAGTTTGAGTCCTTTAATGCATAGTTGTTAGTATCGTATGATACGCGATACGTATCGTACGATACATTACGATATAGGCCTAAAATGATACGGATTGTAGTTATGTTTTGTTTTTGCGTTGTATCGTCCAATACACGATACGTATCGGTACGATACGCACGATAATTGCAAAAGCCTTTTTTTTTTTGGAACGACGTCGTTTTTTGGGTAAGAGGCTAATTTTTTTATCCCTATAACCACTGAAACGACGTCGTTTCAGTGGTTAGGGTTACAAAAAAATAAAATCCCTCTTTTCCCTTATTCGTTGACTCACTTCGCTGGTCTTCGAGGATGATGTCTTTGGGTGTTTTTCAGACTTCGACCACTTTCGCTGGTGTTTGATTCTCGATGTTCTTCAGCCATGGACGACGACTCGTGGGTGTTTGCTGGTCTTCGACTGTGGGTGTTCTCTGTTCTTCCATCGAAGCTGCCTCTCTTTTCTTTCATCTGCCTCCATCGAAGCTACCTTCTTCTTCGTTCTCCTGGTACTCCATCGAAGCTGCCTTCTTCTTCCTTCTTCAGGTACTCCATCGAAGCTGCCTTCTTCTTCCCACTCCCCATCGATACCTATGGTCCTGTGCAGTGTAAGAAATAATGTTAATTTATTTACAAAGCCATACATGTATATATAAATTTTTTTTTTGGTATAAAAATTTCTGAATCTTGATTAATTTTGATTTTGTAAAACAGTGACATCACCAGTATCCTATTTTCATATAAAAATGACTAAAAATGGATGTTAGAAATTTGGATTAGAAGTCTCTTTGGTGATTGAAGTTTGAATTAGTGAACTATGGTTGTGAACTTTGCATTATAATATTAGTGAACTATGTTGATGACTTGAATAGTTAGTAGAATATTAATGAAATGCTATGTTTTTATGAGTGTATGATTTTTTTTTAAAGGTATATGTATTTTATTATTATTTATTTAAATTTGTATCGTATCTTATGGTACACGATACGATACACTATTTTTAAAAAACAATACGCCTTCCGATACACGATTTGATAACTATACTTTAATGTTAGAATTTGAGGTTTGTCAAGTATGCAAACATCACTGTAGTTCTTTCTCTAGTTGTATTAGAAGTCATTAGTTTAGTCCTTTTGATGTTCATTCAAATATTTGGGTTCTTGTAGGAATAAAAAGTATTTTCAGACTTTAATATTTGGTGATCATTGTATGATTTCTCTCTTTTATCTTGGTTATTTCTTAAGAAAGATCGTTTTGAATTGCCTTAGATTTTTATGGCCTTTTAGCATGAAATTTCGATGATCAGTGTGTTAAGATATTATGTTTTGACAATGTTCCATAGTATATTCAATCATTTGTGTACCTTTTGTGCTAACCGTGGTATCATCTATTAAATTACTTACCCACAACCGTCCTTGCAAAATGTTATTGCCCAAAGTAAACATCGTTATTTATTGGATGTTTCTGGTCCCAAAGTACTATTGGGTTGATGTTTTTACCTTTGGTTTATCTTGTTAATCGGGTGTCCTCCTCCATCTTTGCTAATAAATCTCTTTTCCCATGCGCTATCTTGATACACTCCCATTTGGTTTACATCCTCTAGTTCTTGGTTATGTTGCTTTTGTCCACCTTCTTGATCTAGGTCAGGATAAACTTTCACCCCCTTGGTCAAGTGTCTTTGTGATATTTTCGTACTTAGAAAGGTTATTGATGTTGTGACTATTTTTCGTCGATATTATGTTAGTGCTAATGTTATCTTCTTTGAGTCATCTTTCTTATTTTCTACGTTGGGACATAATCTTTCTCCCAATTTATGCTCTTCTAATCAGGAGAAACTTTTATTGTCTATTGTACTAGATTGTCTCTCTTCTTCTTCCTTTTCGATTCTAACTCCACCATTGTAGGTTTATCTTCGCTGCAAAGAGGATATGTTGTTCCAAATGCTCCAGTTCCACATCCAGCGCTTGATTCTCCTTAGGGCTTGCCCCTTATTGTTTCATTCTCTTTTGGTTTGCCTATTGCATTAAGGAAAAACACTAGTAACTGTACCAAATATCTCATTTCTAATTGTCTCTTCTCGTCGGTTTTCCTCATCTATTCATTGTTTTGCATCACCTTTGCCTTTTATGCTTGTTCATAGTTCCTTGAAACAAGCCTTGTTATCTCTAGGGTAGAAATTAGCTATAGTTGATGCAGTGAAAGCTCTTCTTGAGAATTAGACATGTGATCTCACTCCTCTCCTTAATGATAATTTCTAAGATTGGAGAATGGAGAGAGACAAAACATAATATGAGAGTGACCGAGAGGGGTTAAACTTACCTTAGCTCTCACTATCAATTGGTATTTATAATTATCTAATAAAACACAAATGACGAGTATATGCTTAGAGAGTTATTACAACTATAATAATACTCTCAACATTCTCACTCAAGTTGGAGTATATATATTATATAATCCAAGCTTGGAACAAATCGTCATAAAGCGAGTGCGACTCAATGTTTTGGTAAACATATTTGCAAGTTGATCTTCAGATTTCATAAACGGTGTTGTAATATCATCATCAAATATCTTGTCTTGAATAAAGTGACAATCAACTTGATATATTTGGTTCTCTCATGGAATACGAGATTAGCAACAATATGAATAAGTACCTAATTGTCACAAAATAGTTGTATTGGGAAACCAATCTCCTAAAGGAAGGGTCGTAATCATGTCAACTCACTAGTGATATGTGCTATTGGCATATACTCGGCCTTAGCACTGGATTGTGCTATCACTATTTGTTTTTTATTTTTCCATGTAACTACATTACTTCCTAAGAAGGTACAATATTCGGCGGTTGACCTTCAATTCGAGGAAGAGCCAGCTTAATTAACATCAGTAAAACCTTCAATTATAAGATGTTCATTTGTTCGACACAATAACCTAAGTCTAGGAGCACGTTTAAAGTATTAAAGAATGCAGATGACTGCATCCCAATGTGGTATTCTCGGGTATCCCATAAACTGGCTCACAACACTAACTATATATGCAATATCTGGTTTGGTAATAGTGAGATAATTTAGCTTCTTAACCAACTAATGATACTGACTTGGATTTTCAAACAATACACCATCATCCATCAATAGCTTCTGATTCGGATCCATAAGAACATTTATTGGTCAATTCCCTACTAAACCTACTTGTGCTAGCATGTCAAGTACATAATTTCGCTGAGACAAACAAATACCCTGCTTAGGCTTGACAACTTCAAAATATCCAGGAAGTAACTGAGTTTACCTAGGTCTTTAGTATGAAATCGGTCTTGGAGGAAGACTTTCAACTTTGCAATGTCCTCAGAATCATCACTAGTAATTTCAATATCATCCACATAAACAAGCAGAATGTATCCAGAATTAGTATGTCTGTGAAAAATAGAGTGGTCTGTCTGATATTTAAGAAGATCAAACTCTAAAATTGCCTTTGAAAACTTATCTAACCACACCCTCGATTACTGTTTCAAACCATACAAAGATTTTTGGCTGACAAACACTCTTATGATACTCCCCCTAAGCAGCAAACCTAGGTGGTTGCTCCATATATACTTCCTCAGCCAAGTCACCGTGTAAGAAGACATTTTTCACATCTATCTGAAACGAAAGCCAATGAAGATTGACAGCCAAAAAAATCATTACATGAACAAAAGAAATTTTAGCAACATGAGAAAAGGTTTCCTCATAATTAATGCCATAAGTTTGAGTAAAGCCCTTGGCAACAAGTCTGGCTTTGAGACTTTCAATAGAACCATCATGATTAAATTTGACTATATACACCCACCAATTGCCAACAATCCTTTTACTATGAGGTAAAGGAACAAACTCCCAAGTCTCATTATAATGTAAGACATCCATCTCCACGTTTATAGCTTTCCTCCAACCCAGCTTAGATAACGCACCCTATAATGTCTTAGAAATAAAGACAGTAGACAGTTGAGTGATAAAACAAGAAAAGGTAGGATACAAAGAACCATAAGAAGCAGAATTAGTAATAGGATGCCGAGTAACACAAGATTGAGTACTTTGACAGAGAGCAATGGGTAAATAAGCATTAGTAGTTGGAGGACTAGGATCAAAAAAGGGCGAGGAAGATGGTAAAGGCACCTCAGTCGATGATCGTGAACGACGAAAGTATACACAGAGCTGGACAGGAGCAGGTTGGGGTGGTGGAATGATAGATGGTAAGGGAAAAGGTGGTGGTGGAGGTGATTGTCCAAAGTCTAGGTTCAGAGGATGAATAAGAACTGAGAAATATGAGACCGATTCAATGAAGGTGACATTAAAACTAGTGAAGTATCTGTTAAGTGGGAGACTATAATAACAATACCCTTTTTATGTGCGAGAATAACCAAGAAAGACATTTTGTAGCACAAGGGACAAGTTTATCATAGCTGGGACTCAAGTTGTGAACATGACATACACATCCAAAGATTTTAGGAGGGAGGCAATATAAGGGAGAAGTGGGGAAAAAAATAGAATATAGACTTTGCTCATTTACACAGAAGATAGCATACGATTAATGAGATGATAAGTAGTAAGAATATCATCACTCCAAAAAATAACGAGGGGCATTCATTTGAAATTAAAATGCGCGAGTTACTTCCAACATATTACAATTCTTATGCTCGGCTACACCATTTTGTTAGGATGTGTAGGCACATGAAGTTTGATGAATAATGCCAGTTTTATAAAGATAAATAAAAAATAGGTTAGAGTCATATTCACGAGCATTATCAGTACGCAAAATACGAATATGACAACTATACTGGTTTTTTATTTTCTTACGAAATGTTCAAATATATAAAATAATTCAGAACAATCTTTCATAAGAAATAACCAAGTCATATGAGAATAATCATCCATAAATATCACAAAATAAGGAAATTTATTAAATGAAATATTCTTTACTGGACCCCATATATCAGAATAGACTAACTCAAATGGACTAGACACGATTATTGACGTGAAACTTAAAGGATACATGGTAATGCTTAATAAGTTAACAAACTTCACAAGACATAGACGACATATAATTAAGACTAGGAACCTGACGCTTTAGGATTTAGAGAGCATGATGACTAAGGCGGTCCCACTAAAATGGAGACGATGAGATCTGAAGTGCTTGAGGAGATAGATCATGGTCAAAGTAATTGAGATTACCAACTTCATGTCTTGTACCAATTTTTTTTTTCATCTAGAGATCCTAAAACACACAATACGAAGGGTGAAAGGTTACGGAGCAATTAGGCAAACGAGGAAGCTTGCTGATAGAAAATAAATTGAATAGGAACTGAGGAACAAATAAAACAGAGGATAAGGACAAATTAGGACTTAATTGAACAGTCTCAATCCTGAAACATGGAGGACATTCCATTAGCAATAGTTACACTATAAGTAGAGATATGATAGAATGATAAGTAAAAAAGTCACTAGATGAACCAATCATGTGATCAGAGGCGCCAGAGCCTATGATTTATGGACTGCGACTGGATGACAATAAACAAGTGGAACCAGGGCAAAAGTAGCAGTGAAAGAAGAAGGTACATCTGGCTGCAGGGACATGAACTGAGCATATTCTTTTTGTATAATAGTAACCAACTCAGTGTCAGGAGGAGCCAAACGTGCTAATGGAGCAGGTAAAGAGGGAGCATCATCTTGATAGGAGACTTGATTGGCAATGTCGGAGGCTTGCCATGTAAATCCCAACAATAAGTAATAGTGTAGTTAGTATGACCACAATGAGTATATAAACGAGTGCCACTAGGCCCCCCAGCCCCCGGGGAGAGTCATGGCCTCCACAGGCCACCACAACCACTACGAGTACTACCACTTTAGCCATTAGAGACCGCTAACGTTGAACGGTCAATAGAAGGACCATGATAATTGGTGGAAGTAGAATAAGCATCGGACAGGGTAGCACACTGTAAGTAGGAAAACACCTTGAAAAGTGATGGAAGGCTGGGACCACTCAAGATTTGGGCATGAATAAGTTCATACTTCGACTTCAAACCAATAAGAAAGAGAACAACATCCAAATTTTCACGTTGTTGCTGCCAAATTTGAGCATCAGTAGTGAAAGGATGATAAATCCTTAATTCCTCACAAACTCCCCAAACTTAGGAGTAATAGTCTTCTTAATGCAGAGTACCTTGGTCAAGACGAAAATATTGCTTGCATCCTTCTTAAGCAGGAGTAAAATTATCAGTGCCAAAATACATGATTGCCAAATGCTCTATAAGGCTCAATGCCGGTGAACAGTAAGGAAATAAAATCTGTGCATACTCTTATTCCCACTGATCGAACTTGGGGTTACTTTCCTTGGATTTTGCTCCTACCAAATACTTTTTAAGGCCTTTGCTTTTAAGAATTACTTGAACTGAGCAGGGACCATAAAACATAATTTGTCCCATTGAGCTTGACCGAAATCATCGGGGCATTAGTAAGGCAGCATAGGAGAGTGTGGGTGGTATGATGGGGGCAAGAGGTGGTGTATCAGTCTTAGGCTTCATAGTAATATCATAGATGTTGAGACAAATCAAACAAAAGTAGATCACGTCACCCGAATAGTGCAAAAGTAGTCAACGGTAAGAGAATCTGAGGTGAAATGTATGGAGAACCAGACAAGGAGGGCTGAACCGATGCCAAAGTAGCTTCTGAACTAGCTTGAACCAAAGCTGAACCGGCCTGGAACCCCTAGAAGTCGCTAGAAACAGCAGAAAGGAGCCTCTGAATTGGCTGGAAACCCTTTGGAAGTAGCTGAATCAGACTGAACCAGCTTAAATGAGGCTTGAACCAGACTGAACTGGAGCTGAATCGACCTGAAGCAAGACTAAACTGGTCTGAATCAGCTTGAACCTTATCTAGACCGATCTGAAATTGAACCGACTTAAGCCTGAACTGGTTTAAATCTAAACCCTAGGGTTGCTGGGCTCATCTTAGCACTGGGTTTAAGATGTGGGCCTCTTTTGGGGCCAATGAGTTGGGCTTGGACAATAGGCAATTCAGTGAGACCAGTTCTAGTTAGCTTATAACCCGATGGAGTGATCTAGTGGAACTTCGTCTTCTCCATGTATAAGGGTTCAATAGAACCCTAGCTGCTGATGGCGCACAACAAACACTCTGGCAGTGACAATGATGCCATAGTAGACTATCAACGACCACCACAACACACCCACCAAAGCCTCCGGTGACAACATGACACTGGAATCGAGTAAGAGCAGCAAAGTCGATCACCACACTAAAACCAAATCACACCTAGCAACAACAAATCACGTCGGATGCTTGATATATTTTACTTTGTTGTTTGAATACGGTGATTGGAATACTTGTCCACCATTCCATTTATCTGTCATACTTTCCTTGGATCGATTTTATTTATTTTTTTGTATAAAATGAAGTTCACCATCTTTCGTGGGTTATTTTCTTATTTTGTAGTTCATAGCTGATTAGTCATGGTCAATGAAGAGGTTTTAAGCATGGTTCAAAGTCGCGATATTGGTCATCTAATTGGAAAGTTCTGAGACACATCAGTCACGACGTCATGTCGTGGTATCAGGCGATACAACCTAAGCGAAAATGTTGAACATGATGAGAGATTCAGGTCATACAGTGATGTCACAAAACTGTATTAGCTAATTCGGTGATAATAACTTGGTGACTTGGATATAAGTTGGACATTAGGACAAATCGTGTGAGACTCGAGGTTTATACGTATCGTGCAATGGCAATCGAGTTGAATACGATTCGGCCGACTTCATTGATATCGGCTGATTCTGTGAACCATGAACTGGCTAAGTGATTTGCATTGTCTGAATTACATTGAGCAATCAGACTAATAATATTTATCATATATCTTTCCAGAAACCTCATTGCTCCTTATTTTAAAGTTTTTTAGGGGACTTGGCGTGTTTAATCATTTAACTTTGTGTAGAGTAATTACAAAGCTATAGTTTTATAGTTTTTAAATTAATTAAACCACAATACTTAGGATTGATTTTATATTTATGTTTTCCAGTCATGTTAAATCTGTTTGTCTGATTGTAGAGATAATTTTAATCTCTCTTATACAGATTTTTGCAGGGTAACTATTTAAGTGGAGGGATTCCCAGTGAATTGGGTAACCTTTCAGAGCTTGAAAATCTGTAAGTTGTTTCTCCCACTTTGTTAATTGCTTGATGTTGTCTGTGTGTAGATTTTTGGGGTTTAATGAATCGTGCTACATATTTCATACGGTATTACAAAAGCTAGTCGCCTTTTTGATTTAGGGTTTATATGTTTACTAGTCTTGATGGACTTTCATGAGTGCCTTCCTTGTGGAGAGGATATTGAACCTTCCTTGAGGATTGGTATAGACAGTGTCCAATTCATCATCAATGCCCTTTTCAGTAGAGTAAGAAGAAGCGTACAATACTATTATGAGTTCAAGAGTGCTCAAAATAATATAACTAGAATATTTTTCTGTATCTTGTGGTGCACAAACGCATGCAGCAACAGATTTCAGAACTACGAAAACGATACTCAAAAAGAATAAAATTTTTCGACTTTTGACCGTGTTGGAAAAAGTCGAGATATATTTCACTATGTCACACCCAGTCCTGGAATCCTACATACTTTGGCTCCATGCAACTTCACGTGGTGAAAAAAATGGCAATAATCCATTTTCAATCCTTCTTCACAATATTAAATATGATTGAATTCGCATATGATGCAGACCAAGATATGAAACTCAACTACCCACTTCAAGGACTTCTACAGATGCTATAAGTTATTATTTCATGCAACTACAATGTTTGTTATATACACAAAGCTCTTTTTGAATACATAACAAGTTTCAGCAGCTAGAAAGAAATCATAAGGTTCAACCCAGATACAACTTCTTCCGTCGACTCTCACTAACTCTATAGGTTTGGAAGAGAGGCTGAACTGGAGGAGGGAAATACTTAAGTTCTCCTGTAGATTTCAGAAGGTTGCTTAACATCCATTAACGGTGGCATACATATTGGTCCTTTTGATTACAGTTATATCCCCAGCCTAACAATTTGTTCTTTTAGCTTCCCTGCTGTTTCGATTAAAACTACATTTCAGTCGCCTTAACTGTTTGATGCAGTCCTGGTTGTCACCCATCAGGGCTATTATCAAGGGCAGAGTCATGTGGGGAATATGGTGGGCACTTGCCCCCCTCACTTTTAGACCACCTTTGATGAGGACCCATAAAATTATTTAATATATTATATTTGCCCCCCCTAAATTTTAAAAATTTTAATAATGATTCTAGTCTTTTCTTTTTTCAATAAATTAGTGGTCCACTAACCCTCTAAAATAAATGTTTTATTTTTAAAATCAGATGTAACTATCCTTATCTATTTGTATATTAATCGAAAGACAATATTTTTCTTTATCTAACACAATGTTCGTTATTTTTTAAAAATAATTTTTAGTTGTCATTTACCATTTTTTTAGTATATAGTAGTCTATAACCCAATAAAATATAATTGTATACAAAAGACAAGAGGTTGTAACCCAAAAATATTTTAATCTATTTCGAATAGAGAATTTCTCTATAAGATTGATAATGATCTCAATTAAGTTTTACAACTAAATGAAGAATGATTTTACAATGGACTTATGATTTTGTCCATTAATAGAAAATTAGTAAAAAATTAACATTAATTAATATACAAAATTTTAAAAATTTTAAAGAACGTTGTATTTTATTGAAATATATAATTGAGTTAAAATATATTAAAAAAATTATTTTGTGTCTTTTTGTTCAAATTTTGTTTGAGCTAAGTAAAAATTGATTTTACTATTTGATGATAATTTTCTTGAGTCTTAATTTTTTGTCATTTTTGAACTTAATTTTTTTGTATCAACTAGTGAATTATTTTCGGTTATATTTTGCCCCCCGTCATAGATATTCCTGGCTCTACCCTTGACTATTGTAGATGCTTCAATAAGAATAATAGGTATATTGAATTGTTAGATAGCTTTTTTTGTCAACCAAGAGTAAAAGTTTTGTAATTCTTCCTTGTAGTACTCAACAAATAGTAAGTAATTTTGTGGTGATACTTTGCATAAGATGTAAATTCCACATTGAAAGAACATTAATTCAATCCATCATTGTATCCCCCCAAGAATTTTTTTGTTTTTTGGATATGTGCAGTCTGCCCTAAAAATGTGGGAAATACTGTGTAAAAAGCTACTAATGCTTCTGTTAAATTTCTGGCAAAAATGCTGTGTCATTGTTGAACAAATCAGCATCATCACAAAACAGGAATTAATCTTATATTTGTTCTTAAATATTGGGGGAGCAATTGACTTGAATTGAAAACTTAGGTGTATGGCCTTGCCATTTGAGCTCTCTTCCCATGTGACTAGGAATGTTTAGTGACAATCTCTCAATTGTCACTGCAAGGCCTCTCTTGCTACCACACTAGCACCTAGTGTGGTCAGCATGAATTGTGTTTGGGCAACAAAGCTTTTACACTACAAAAATCGTACAAACATCTATGGAGCGTAGCAAGGAGCCTTGGCTTTAGTTCTCGTCATCTCACTTAATCCTACAAAGGGTTAAAACGAAAAATTTTGAAGTTTCGAACGAAACTCCAATGTTTCGTACCATTTTGGTTGAAACAACAAGATGATTCCATAGGTATCAAGTAATCGAAAGAAGAGAAAAGCTTGGTAGAGGTTCCCGAGTCCAAATTTGAGCAAATCCAAGCTAAACTCCACTCCCACGGTCGAAATCTGAGCAAATCTAGGTATGCTTATTCCTCCTCCCCCCCCCCCCCCCCCCCCCCCCCTTTCTTTCTTTTTTTCTCCATTGTACCAATGGTAGTTGACCTTGCATAATCTAATTGGGTATGATCTTGTTGAACCTAAAGGAGAACATAGCATTCTGTAATCTTTTTCGATTTGTGATCTGTATACACAACTTGTAGAAGATGGTAAGGTGTTTGCCAGTCTATTCCCTTGACGTTGTCCAGGTTCACTTTTATGCAGATAGATGATGTGATTAGTCAAGCTCAAACCACAAGGGCAACTTTGGGCTCTCAAAGGGCTTTGTTTGGTGATGTTCAAGGAAAAGTGAAACAATTAGGCGACAAATTCCCTATTATTCGTGGCCTAATTGGTACAATTCTGAATCCATTTCTGCTACTCTCTGTTCTTCTTTTAACTAACTTCCCACTAATATTGAGCTTGATCCTCACAGGTTCAATCAAAAGGAAGCGATCGAGAGACACACTTATCCTATCAGCAGTCATCGCAGGTTGTACATTGTTTCTCATTATCTATTGGCTTTCAAAGTAAACAGGTATGTGAGTTATTGGAACGGAAATATCCGAAAAAAGTATGCTTTCTTAGGAATTTTGCATCTGTTATTTCTTCAGATAATCAAGGTCACCCCTTCAAAAGCTTTTGGTATCTTTTGTGGTGCCTATTCCCCTATATTCTTTCCTGTCTGCTTCAAAGCACTTACACTCAGGAAGTTATGCCCTATTTTCGTACTGCCTTTGATTGGGAAATTTAGGAAAGAACCAAGGGAAAGAGAGTAAACTAGTCATTCACCTGTGAACTACAGCCACTGATAAAGTGGTTGAGACTTGAGACAGCGGCTCATTGTGCATAAATCGGCCAAGTGGTCCATGGTCAGAACTGGGTCCAGCCAAATTGTCATTTTGGGTCTATCCAGAGTCTTCCCTGTGTGCCAGGTTAATGCTAGATCCAGAGGTCAATTCTCTCGAGAGATGTGGTCCTGTACAATAAATGCGACTTGCCATGAATCTCTTTGAATCGAAAAGGTTTAAGTCTTCCGGGATTTTGAAATCTAAAAGCAGGTATTTGAAACCTATCGTGATGTAGTACTTTGCTTTTTATCTCCAGTTTTCAAGTGTATTTGCGAATCAATAAGTCAATTGTCACCGCCAACACGTCTTTAGGTGGTATTTTTCATGGCGAAAAAGGGGTTAGTTCCAATCAGACGTCCTTGAATTCATAACTATAATGCAAACTTTTAATGCATGCAATCATTCGCTAATCATGCATGAAGGAAAGCAAACTTATGCATAATCTTCAACTTAGGTGCTTTTTTTATAATGATAAAAAATAAAGGGAAACGTGTAAGCTTTTTGCCCGAAAATCATTGCAGAATCACAGGAAGCCAAAGAATTCAATAAAGTCTAAATTCATGTATCACCTCTAAAAAGATTTAACTTTTATATCAGTACATGAAAATTTATCAAACAATCTGAACGTTCTCCCAGCACCAATTTAATCTTTATTAATAGCATCTAATTTAATCTTCATTAATGATAAATTATTTATCATGAATTGCCGTGGAACTATTTTATATAAATAAGATCCATTANCCTCCCCCCCCCCCCCCCCCCCCATTTTTCTTTCTTCTTCTCTGCTAATTCTTCATCTAGTGGCGTGAAAGATACCCCTATATCCATCCTATTTCAAAATTCATTTTTACATCAAATTCAATTAGAAAGATAAGACCCTTTCAGTTTATTAAGTAGAGCTGACTATTTTATGGTTGGAGCTTGATTACTACTAGAGTTTCACATCAAATTGTACTACTAATGTCATTAAATTTCAGCAGATGGTGAAAAAAGAGCGAGTGTGTGACTTTCTTGCCGGTCTTATTATTGAAAATGATTAGATTCGGGTTTAGATTTGGGTTGGAGTCCATTTGCTACTTTACAGGAAACTTATGCTCATGTTCAGCAGGAGGAGAGTCGAAGGATTGCTATGGTTTATGCTCCTCCTCATGAACAGTCTGCATTGGCTACTATTTCTCACCGTGACATGAGTAGCACTGTGTCTAAGGATACTTTAAAGTGTGATTAATGTGGGAAGACAAGGCATACACGGTAGTTTTGTTGGAATATGCGATCTTAGGCACATATGACTAATTCTTCGAAACCTCCATTCCAATCTAGTGGCATAGTTTCGTCTATTTTTTTCAAGATGAGTTGCAGACTCTTAGGCGCCTGATGGTGCACCTTGATGTTTCCTCTACCACAACTCTTAATTATATCTCTTCCTCCAACTTTGCTCATACAAGTATATCTAGTGTGTTTATTACATCATCCTTATAATCTTGGATATTAGATTTTGGAGCTATGGACCACTACAGGTTCTTCTAGTCTTTGCTCCTCATATTCTACATGTTTAGGTAGGGATAAAGTCAAGGTAGCAGATGGATCTTTATCCTTGATTTGGGAAAGGTTCAATTAACTGCTCAAGCTCCCTATCCTTCGCCTTTGTTCTACATGTTCCCAATTTCTTCACTAACTTATTGTTAGTTTGTAGTATTAATAAGTTCTTGAATTGTTCAGTGATTTTTTTTTCTACTCATTGTACCTTTCAAGAACTAGAGTTAGGGAAAACAATTGGCAATGGTTGAGCATATGATGGTCTGTACTTTCTAGATGATGAAGTTTCCTCTCGGTCCCCAGGGCCGGCCCAACCCTTAGGCATCTAAGTTGCTTTCCTAGGGCTCCAAATTTTAGAGGGCCCCACAATATTTCTCTTTAGTATAGTATGCCTAATTTTTTATTTTTTATTTTTTATTTTATATTTTAGATATGATTAAAATTTTAGGGCTCAAATTTTATTAGTTCAGATCAGCATCTAATTTTATTAGGTCTAAAATTACTCTCTACTTGGTTAGGCCTAAATTTTAGAGGCCTCCATAAAATTTATCACTTTAGTATAATAGTATTTTTTATTTTAGATATGATTCAAATTTTTAGGGTTCAAATTTTAGTAGTTGAAATCAATATCTAATTTTTTTGGGTCCAAAATTATTCCTTCGTGTGAGCTTTGATTTAAAATTTTCTAAATATTTTGTATGTTCATAGTTGTATTTCACTCACTCACATAGAAAATTTATATTCATTATTTCTTGCGGTGAAAATCTATAAAATTGATTCATTTTTTGTTTGAATATAAATTTTTAGTCCAAATAATTTATACTTAAATTGTCCATGTTATTAAAGTTTTGTACTTCATGCGTGCACATTATTCTTAGGTAAAGAATGATTCTTTGTTATCTTAAAATTATTCTTTACTCACATATTCTATTATTAAATTACTTGTTGAAAACTTAAATTGATAAAATTTTATTTACAACCAAGAATGAATGAATTAACAATAATATCTATTAAAAAAAATTATTGTCAATACTTGAGTATAAAAACTTGATCAATATTTTAAATTTTTAAAAAAATAAAAAATAATTTTTTAAAACATAAAAAAATTATAATAATTAAAAATAAAATATATTAATAGACAAAATATTAATAGGGCCTCATATGAAAATTTTGCCTAGGGTCCCGCTTTACCTTGGGCCACCTCTGGCCGTATCCTGGTCGAGCTCTCCAGGCAGCAAACATTTCAACCCTTCAAATCTTACTACAGTGATACCGGTGTTTAGGACATTCCTCATTTGGTGTTTTAGAACATATTTTTCCTGGTCTAATTAGGGAATGTAATAGACAATGTTTTCTTTATGATGCTTGTGAATTTGTCAAACACAAACGTTCCTTTTATCCTAGTACTAATAATAAAAACATTGCTCTTTTTGTTATTATTCATTCTAATGTGTGGGAACCTTCCCGCGTTGTGTCTATCTTGGGTAACCGTTGGTTTGTTACTTTTATTGATTGTTATACTCGTTTAACTTGGGTTTACTTGTTGTGCACTAAAAGTGAAGTTTTCTCATATTTTCACTCTTTACATAAAATGGTTAGTACCCTATTTGATGCCAAAATTAAAGTCCTTCGTAGTGACAATGACACTGAGTACATTGATGGAGAATTTTGCTCTTACTTCACTGTGAGCGGCATCCTCCATCAAACCTCTTGTATGCGTACTCCAGAACAAAATGGTGTTGATGAGCGCAAAAATTGTCACCTTTTTTCGGGTGTTCGTTCCCTAAAGTTTACTCTGAATGTTCCTCCATATTTTTGGGGTGATGTAGTACTTATTACTGCATATCTTATTAATTGTCTCCCTTCTAGTGTTTTGGAGTTAAGTCTCCTATTGAGTATGTCTCTAGGATTTTACGTATTTCGTCAGTTTTTTTTCTTCTTTTTGGGTGTGTTTGTTTTGTCCATGACCACAAAGCATTCAGGGGAAAACTTGATCCTAAGGCTTTGTGGTGTGTCTTTCTGGGTTATTCTCCCACTCAAAAGGGATATAAATGTTACCATCCACCGACTTAGAAGATGTATGTTAGTATGAATGTTACCTTTCGTGAGTTTGAGTCTTTTTTTCCTTTTCTCTAGCCATCTCTTCACGGGGATAATCTAAGTATTGAGGAAGAGATGGTATGTCAAGAACCCTTCCTTCAATTGCCTTTTTGGTGTGATACTAATCAGGGTTAGCAACAGATTGTTAGTACTAATGATCAACTTGGTACTCTGAAGACCTATTCTCGGCGTCAGAAGGTACAAACCACCTATGTGCTATTGGGTCAGTTGAATTCCTCCACTCTAGTTCTAGCATCTTCCACTGGTTCACCGAGTAATGAGCTCTTCCTTGTCACCCAAGTTAGTGATAATTCAACTGATGATGACTTTGAGCTTCCTATTGCAGTTAGAAAGATGTTCAAGCTTGTAGTCAATACCCTATTTCTAACTTTATTTCTTATGATTCCTTGTTTCCCTGCTATCGTACCTTTGTTTCTTGCTTGTCCTCTATATTTATTCCTTAGGGTTGGAAGGAAGCTCTCACTGATCCAAAATAGTAAGAAGCTATGGTAGAGGAAATGAGAGCCTTTAAGAAGAACAACAAATGAGAATTAGTTTCACTTCTCGTTGGAGCAAGAGTAGTTGGATGTAAATGGATATTCACTGTCAAACATCAAGCCGATGGTTCAATTGAGAGATAAAAGGCAAGACCGGTTGCTAAGAGATTCACTCAGACATATGGCATTGATTATCAAGAAATTTTTGTCCTAGTGGCAAAGATGGACTTTATATGTGCCCTTCTCTCATGTACAAATAATTTGGGATGGAGCTTGCAATTGTTGGATGTGAAGAATGTCTTTCTCCATGGAGACTGGTAAGAAGTGAACCGGCCTTGAACCAGCCTGGAGTGGATTAAACCGACCTTGAACCGGCCTGGAGTGGATTGAACCGGCCTGGAGTGGTCGTGGGGGCTGTAGTGGATCTCGTTCTTGTACTCACTGTGGTCGTGGAGGGTATACTGTTGACTTTTGTTGGGATTTACATGAAAAACCTTCTGGTACTGCTAATCAGGCTTCTTATCAGGATGACACCTCGGTTGTTGCTTCCGTACCTCGGTCAGCTCCACCAGACACTGGATCAGTTACTATTACACTGGGTCAAGAGGAGTATGCCCAGTTCTTGTCCCAGCAACAGGCTGTTCCATCTCCCTCCACTGCTACTTTTGCCCAGTCAGGTACTGCTTTCACTTGTTTATTGTCCTCTACCCGCAGTCCTTGGATCATAGACTCTGGCGCTTCTGAGCACATGACTGGTGCGTCTGATATTTTTTCTACTTATCAGTCTGCTACTTCCACACGTAGTATTACTCTTCCTAATGGTACTTGTTCTAAAGTTTCAGGTCTAGGGACTCCTTACTTGAGTCCTGATATATCTCTATCATCCGTGTTATTTGTTCCTCAGTTTCTTTTTAGTTTACTTTCCATTAGTAAGATTACTCGTTCTCTCAATTGTTCTGTAACCTTTTATCCCTCTTATTGTGTCTTTCAGGATCTCAGGACGAAGAGAAAGATTGGTACGAGGTATGAAGCCGGTGGCCTATATTACTTTGATTTTGATTCACCTACTCGGACTCTACAGACCTCGTTGTCTCATTTTCAATGGCATTGTCGCCTTGGACATCCTTCTATCCAGAATCTGAAGCGCCAAGTTCCTAGTCTTAGTTGTGTGTTCCAAGCAATCACCGGTCGACACGTATTAAGTAAAAGATAAGGAAATTATATTTTTTTTTGAAAGTTGGGAAGCTTCTACGTCAAACGTAGCAAGCCTTCTCTTTTTCTCTCTTAAATCCCTATACTTATGCAACTTTCTGTCTCTCTCTTCCCATCTCTCTCCCTCTGGAAATCCTCCAATCTGCCACAGAACAAATATGCTTCACTCCCTCCACAAATGAATCTTCTAGGTAGTTCTCAAACACATGGGCCATGGTGTTTGTGTATCATCTAGGTCTTCTTCATACCACGTGGCGCAGCATCTTTCCTCTTTTATGGATATATGACATTCCTTTGCTTCGTTAGAGTCTACAAACAACCCGTACTTTCCTCAAAAGATTCCTTTTCAAATCAATAAAAAATTGCTTCCATTGTGTCCAGATTTGTTCCAAATGTGTCTAGATGTATCCAAAGTTCAAAAATAAAATAAAAAAATTTCGGACACATATTTTTGTGTATTCGACATGTGTCCGGGATGTGGTTGTGTCCCAGATGTGTTAGACATTGGTATGTATTGCAAAATAACGTGACGGTGCTTCATAGGCCCAAATTGTTAGGATTGAATGCATTATTGTACTAATGTGCAACCACTAGCTTTTATTATTTACGACCATTTGTTGATATGTTGCATTGAATAATAATTCGCTTTGGAACTCTTAGTAGAAATACAAAAATAAGTATTAATTAACTTTAAATATGTATCTACCTCCTTTTCTTTCTTTAGAATTGCAGTAAGGCTGAATAAGTTTACTTACTTGCACTTGAGCTTGAAGCCTTTTTTTTGAATCCTAAAAGTCTCATAAAAAATTTCCAAAACTTTAATTGCATAAAATTTTATATAATATTGAAAAAGATTCACCTAAAAGTTACAAAACGAATTACCACTCAAAATAGCGTACCAACTGAGCCTACTCTATCGCACCATGTATTGGAAGAAGTATTGTACCGCGTACCCATATACCATGTTCTAAACTGATCAATGATCTAGGAAACATTTTTCCAATCGTTCAGCGAACATCATTTCGTCCTATGATCTATCATCCATGAAAATGCCTCCATAGATGAGCGAAGTCTTGTAAATTGCTCGATACACATGTTGGCATCATTGTCATCATCACTTTTGTTGAAGTATAAATACTTAGATTATACCATTTCCAACAACTTGAACCTTTGGAGTAGATGGTTGTTCAACTTGGTATCAGAGCAAAAAGTCTTGTGTTTGAATCTCGCCGTTACCTTAATTATAAAAACATTTTCACGTGCTACGCCCAAAATCTTGGTTGCACGTGAGGGGGCGTGTTGAAGTATAAATACTTAAGTTACACGTTTTTTGGAGTAGATGGTTGCTCAACAACTTTGAAACGTGTTTCATCACTTTCTATTTAGTCTTTCTTGGCTCCTCACTAATTCCAGCACCACTAGTTGTTGCCGCTTTTTATTATGGAAACCAATTCGCCATCTTCATTCTCCGTCACCATTGCTTTCAAAAATGGATTTCTCTACCGTAAACCTCAACCATATAAATTGCTATGAGTTTATATTTGTTTTAATATATACTTTTAAAACCTGTAAGACAAAACGAGCTTAAGCTTTTATGTATCATTGACAGTGCAAACAGTGGATTTAGCATTGATATCCAATGGATATTTTTGGGTTATGGAACTGGCATGAGTCTCAAACTTCTAAAAAGAGAAAGCAACAAAAATTGAAAGACTTCATTAGGACAAAGAAGTGGATGAGGGCAATTGTTTTTATAATCCCGTCTCATTAAATTGGGGGTGGGAGAGGAGAAGCAAATTAGGGAGCAGACATTGCAGCCAGCCCTCTTGTCAAATTAACACAGAGGAGTAGGTAGTATTTCTTTCACAAGTCCTTCTAATTGCTATATCCTTGTCAATGAAGTGGAAGAAGAATGAGGTAATCATGTGTTGAAATAGCTAATGTTTTGATTGTGTCTAACTCAATTGTGAATCCTCCGAAAATGAGACGACATTCTATAGTAGAAAGAAATTCTCCCTCTTCTTTTCCCCACTCTGAAACAAAAGTGAAAGATGAAAGGAGAAAAACACTTTCACGAGATTTTAGCTTAAATGAATAAGGCTTCCTTCATTGTACAACTTGGTGAGGTGCTGTGTGATCTCTCATTGGAATTTTGATTTAGTTCATCCAAATTACAACGGGTATATTGTTTCTGCATATTTATGAGTATTTGTGTGGCCCTGTGTGTGACCCTAAGAGAGAAAGAGATTGGTTAGGTGATACCTCATTATGATATATGGCCGACTACATCCATATAAGATGTTTCTGTGGTTTAATGTTGCACCTAAATGTTGATGCAATCCTTGGTTTGATGAATTTTTCAGGGATGTTTCAAGCAACTCTCTAAGTGGATATATTCCTCCATCACTTGGGGAGTTGAACAAGCTCTCAGCGTTGTTAGTATCCTAACTTTCTTTAAGTTGTCAGTCAGTTTTGGGTAGTTGTCATTGTGTATACTAATGTTTCACGTTGGTATACGATATCTGTAGCAATGTGTCAACCAATTTCTTGGTCGGACCGATTCCATCTGATGGTGTTCTTGCCAAGTTTTCGAAAGACGCGTACGTATGGATTTTGATTTCTTTTTATGTTAGTTGATTTGAATTGTTAATGAGCTTCAAGGTTTTCTGTGGTGAAACAATGTGTAGTGTAGTTTATTTCATTTTTTTTGTAACAATCGTTTGTTCATACTTTTCCTGGAATTTCTTGGTGTGGTATATCTGACCTCCTGTTATGATTTGATCAAATACCATGTCATGAAACATGATTGCTTCTGGTCACTGTAGTACCTCAGAGGTTATTGTTTTGTTTTCTAGCTGATTCTTGACGCTTATCGTGAGGAACTGTCTTATTTTGAAGGCAAGTTTGGGAGGTTGTTACATAATTCAGTTGCATGAATATGAGTAGACAGTCGAGAAGCTTCCCTTCATAAAATATTAGTGACTGGCTTTTTTGTTTAACCGATGTGCAATATTTCAATTTTGATCAAGACTCAAGTTACTGTTAGTTTCAAATAATTTGTTATCTTGTGTGCTGCATGACTAGTTCTATAACAAGGCTACATATTTTGCAAATATGCACCTACAAAAACTTACAAGGTGGTTATGCTGTCACAATACTTATGTGGTTCTTCACTTGGCAGCTTTGTGGGAAATCGTGGTTTGTGTGGGAAACAAGTCAATCTGGCATGCAAAGATGATGTTGGAGGCCCTACAACATACTCCCAACCTCCCAATTCAGGTAAATTTCATCCATGGAATATTTATTATTGTGGTTCTGTAATTTTCCAGTGGCTGAGAGGTTCAGTCAATTCCATCTCGCTTTGTGAGGCTTCGAACCATAGCTGCCAACATGTTGGCAGAAAAGGTTCGCCAGTGTAAATATAGACTTCTGTAAGCCTACGATTGCAAAATACCAGCTGCTTACCTAAGAAAGAGCCTAAAGTTATCTTTACAAAGCTGATATAATACTTTTTTCTTTCTTTAGTATAGCGCTTACCATGAGCACAGAAAACTATGGAAAATTCAACCTAAATCCCGTATGTAGTCTGCCAGTTATCTTCTGTTCTTTCTATTTGTAGGCATTGCACTCCAACTTTCTATAAATCCAGAACCAACTTGTAATATTTCCATAGAATCTTCAGAGCTTTCCAAGGCACTATATTTTGTTTTTGTCTGCTTTGTTTGCATAAAGGTTTGATAGCAAACACTCTATAAGCTTTGGTGGCTTTATTCGTTGAACTTGAGATTTTAAATTGGCGCATTCCTTACCCAGGTTACATTGGTCTGATTGAAAACAAATTGAATCTTTAATTGTGTGATAAAGACCAGTGTGTCCACATCCCAATTGTTTGCCTGCAGGAGTATGTGCATCTAATACATGTTTCATATTATGTGCACAAGACTGCTAATGAAAATTGTGTAACTCCCCTAGGCAGACTAAGTGAGCTGTGTAACATGCTACCATTTTTTGTAATTTGGCGCATCACTTAACTATATATATATGTTGTGAGAGTAGCTGAGATTTTTTTGTAACTTTAGTCTTTATCATTTTAGTAGATACACATGAAGGACCTGTCTCCCCATGCTAAGAGTGAGTTCTGACTTTCTTCTCCCGTTCTCTAGTTTTCTGTTACTTCTCTCTACAAATTCAACATGGTATCAAGGCATTGATCAAGGATAAAAACTTTGTTTTTTTTCTTTTTTATTTTGAAAGGGAAAAACATTTCAGTTTTGGCAGAAACAAAAGCAAATTATTGATTGAAAATGAAATTTCTTATCTTTTAGAATGTTTCACGATGTTTCAAAATCAAATTCCATTTGTTTCCATTATTTTTCTGAACCATTTTTGGAACATTTTTGTTTCCATGCTTATCAAAACTAGCCCCCATAAACGGCTGTGGACCAGTAGAGAAACTGACAGTGGGGACCAAGGAGAACACCATTGTAATAGTCCATAAGGTCAGGTGTTCGTATGACTGTGTGGACAACTATTTCCACGTCCCCGTGATGTGTGCTGTCAGGATACATGTTTGGTTTGTTCAGTATGAGGGTGTTAGTGGGTGTGAAGGATTAGATCACCAAAACCCTAGTTTTCTTGCATGATTTTGGCTTTGAGGAGGATTGATAGGAATTTTTTCTAGTGTTGTTTGGTTGCTCATGAGATGTGGAATGGATTTTCATGAAGAATGGTTGTTGTTAGGTGTTTATTGCTGAAGCTCGTGGTTCTTATTTGAAGTAGAATCGTCCTTCTTGATTGAACGCCAGTCCTTTTCGTTAAAACAACATTTGAATGCCAGCAGAGTGCAGCTTTCCAAAGTTCTGGACAGAAGCACATCCTGATTGAATGCCAGTTTTCCCATTTGGAAATGACCTTAGAATATTCCATAATGAAAGGCCAAAATTTGATTTCTACAATGCCTTGTGTTTTCTTGGGCTACTAGTCATAACCCGTGCGTGAAGGCACGATGAAACATAAGTTTCGAACCTTCAAAAAATTGATCCCACTATACCAAATAACAATTTTTTATTTCTTTGTTTCTTTTATTACATCATTTAAAATTAATTTTTACCTATTATTTTTTTATAAATAGCGTTAAAATTTTCTCAAAATATATAACTCTGACAAAATTTTTTCAACACGTGTACATTATTGTGCATGGACAATGTATGAAATAAAAATTGTGTTAAATTACAAATTAATCAAATGTTAAATGAGTGAACATGTGATGGAATTGGATGATGTGATATTTTTAGGGGGGAAAATGTATAGGGGATAAATTTCATGCCCCTATGTGTTTTATTATATAGATATTTGTTTGAAGTATTCTGGGTGCCCTTATTATTTTATAAGTTTGCTCGATTGGTTAATACTTCTTGTGGTTGAATCTAGGATTTTAAGGTGGATTTGGGTGGAAGAGTACTATGAGTGAAGAGATGCCATCTTTATATAAGAATGGTGCTTGGGAGTTGACTAATTTGCTCCCCAGGAGACGTGATCAGTTGTTGTATGTAGTTATGTCTCACCCATGTGGTAATGTTGAGAAGTTAAAGTGTCAGTTGGTTGTTAAGGGCTACGCTAAGACCTTTGGTGTGGATGAGAGGCTCTCTCTAGTGAGTCAACTTAATTTTATTTGTTTGATATTATTTGTTGCCATTATTAAATTTTGGCCTCTTTATCAACTTGAAATAGAAAGCCCTACTTACCTCGACGAGGTCAATAGGTGAGCAAGCAGGCCCTTCAATAATATAGAAAGAAAAATGAAATAAAAAGTCTTCTTCGTGATGGTGATCTTTCTTTAGGAAAAGGGTAAATTACATTCACCTTCCCAGAGATTTATTCAAATAACAGTAAGACCCCTCAAGTATGACAAACAACACTGACCTCCGTTGTTAGTGACGTCCATTCTGTTTTTTAACAGAAAGAATAAAATGATTATAATAGACTCAATGTAAGAAAACTTACTAACATTTAATTGGGTTTGCAACATCCAATGATACGGTGCCATGTCATATTAAGGGAAAGCATGAAAAAACCTATTTTCTGAAAATAAAAAACTGCTACCAATTGCATTACCACCGACCACCGCCACAAACAACCACCACCATCATCAACTTCAACACCAACAAAATCTATTCTCTTGTCTCTCTTCCTATTTGAGCATCTTCAAGGTTCCTTGTTCTAGTAGGAAAGTGAAAGGCCTAAAAAATTTCAAGAAAGCTTGGAGAGTTAATGAGAAGGAAATCCAAAAAGATTTCTCCTTGCCATCATCTCTCTACGTACCAGTGTTCCATTGAATCTATACTTACCAATTCAAGGATAGACACCACAACACTTTCCAAAACTAATAGGCAACTTGAGAACCCCTCAACGGATTTGACGGAGATTGTGAGCGAAAAAAATCTTGAAAGGAAACCATGCCATTGAACTTGCCATAGCATCCCCTACCAACTCTTGCTCTCCCTCTTCTCCCTTTCCCTTTCCCTTTCCATCTTCCCTCTCTCCGTATCTCTGTCTCTCTTTTAGAGTCATTTTGGTACTCATGGTTGCGCTTATTAGTTATGAACCAATCTTCACCAACAACCAACTCGATGCTATTCCTTAAGTATTTGTTTTATTTGAATAAGTTGTGTTGGTTGTCGTTGTAGTTGGGGTGGAGGTTTTGTGTGTATTTTGGTTTTCGGTGCATTTAGGTTTGCAAGTGGTGTCTATTGTTTTAGAGAGAGAAATCAAAGGAGGAATGGATTGGGGAGGGGGAGGTTGGGGGAGCTACTATAGGAGGGGGAGGGAGGGAGGGAGGGGAGTTTTGGATGGTGGGTTGGGTAGTACGAGTTTGATGACAAAAGTGTAGTCGAGTTGGCAGGGTGGAGGAGAGAGAGATAGAGGGGAATTCAAGAATGATTGTTTGGCAAACATATAGGTTTTTCATAATTGATATGGTTTGTTTGGCAATAATTTTCATTTCTCCCTTACCTGGATAAGGGTAATATTGGTAATTTAACCAAAAAAATTTAAATATACTAGAGTACTCTAACCCCTCAAATTCATAATGTGGTAGTAAAGAATACNTATAATAGACTCAATGTAAGAAAACTTACTAACATTTAATTGGGTTTGCAACATCCAATGATACGGTGCCATGTCATATTAAGGGAAAGCATGAAAAAACCTATTTTCTGAAAATAAAAAACTGCTACCAATTGCATTACCACCGACCACCGCCACAAACAACCACCACCATCATCAACTTCAACACCAACAAAATCTATTCTCTTGTCTCTCTTCCTATTTGAGCATCTTCAAGGTTCCTTGTTCTAGTAGGAAAGTGAAAGGCCTAAAAAATTTCAAGAAAGCTTGGAGAGTTAATGAGAAGGAAATCCAAAAAGATTTCTCCTTGCCATCATCTCTCTACGTACCAGTGTTCCATTGAATCTATACTTACCAATTCAAGGATAGACACCACAACACTTTCCAAAACTAATAGGCAACTTGAGAACCCCTCAACGGATTTGACGGAGATTGTGAGCGAAAAAAATCTTGAAAGGAAACCATGCCATTGAACTTGCCATAGCATCCCCTACCAACTCTTGCTCTCCCTCTTCTCCCTTTCCCTTTCCCTTTCCATCTTCCCTCTCTCCGTATCTCTGTCTCTCTTTTAGAGTCATTTTGGTACTCATGGTTGCGCTTATTAGTTATGAACCAATCTTCACCAACAACCAACTCGATGCTATTCCTTAAGTATTTGTTTTATTTGAATAAGTTGTGTTGGTTGTCGTTGTAGTTGGGGTGGAGGTTTTGTGTGTATTTTGGTTTTCGGTGCATTTAGGTTTGCAAGTGGTGTCTATTGTTTTAGAGAGAGAAATCAAAGGAGGAATGGATTGGGGAGGGGGAGGTTGGGGGAGCTACTATAGGAGGGGGAGGGAGGGAGGGAGGGGAGTTTTGGATGGTGGGTTGGGTAGTACGAGTTTGATGACAAAAGTGTAGTCGAGTTGGCAGGGTGGAGGAGAGAGAGATAGAGGGGAATTCAAGAATGATTGTTTGGCAAACATATAGGTTTTTCATAATTGATATGGTTTGTTTGGCAATAATTTTCATTTCTCCCTTACCTGGATAAGGGTAATATTGGTAATTTAACCAAAAAAATTTAAATATACTAGAGTACTCTAACCCCTCAAATTCATAATGTGGTAGTAAAGAATACCAAAAGTTGTTTGTCAAAAAGAAAACGAAGCGGGTTGATACACAAAGTGGCAGTCAATCTCAATATGTTTTGTACATTCGTAGAATGGCGAGTTGTGGACAATCTAAATAACTAGAGTAGATAAAGAGATGCCAAGATCAGCAAGCAGTCATCGTCACCATACTATCTCTGCCGTGGTAGATTTCATAGCATGGTTTTCAGCTTTAGCAGATGAACGAGCAATAACAGTTTGCTTTTTGTTTTTCCAAGACTTAACTGAGTCACCAAGAAAGAAACAAAAATTAATGATGGACTTGCGATCCATGGAGTCAGTAGCCCAATTAGCATCTTAATAAAACTCTAAGTTCCATACAAGCTGATGAAGGAAATAATAGACTCTGATACAAAGTACTTTAAAGGTACTAAAAATGCGGAGAACAGTCGTTCAGTCAATCGAAATGTGACACCCCAAATCGGGTATCCGTAATTAACTCATGATTAGCTCGAATTAAGCCATGATATAAATACGCTTTGATGCCAAGTTATGACACCCCAAAATATGGGTGTCTATAATATACCCATGATTAACTTGAATTAAGCCATGATATCAATACGCTCTGATATCAAGCTGTGACGCCCCAATTCCCGGTGGTCCTAATTACCCGTTAAGCCTCGCTAATTAAACTAAGGCATTGATTCCGACGAACAATCCCAATGGAAATCCAATGGAGTTTCCTTTGTACGGAGAGCTCCCTTCACACCTTACCANTTACCCGTTAAGCCTCGCTAATTAAACTAAGGCATTGATTCCGACGAACAATCCCAACGGAAATCCAATGGAGTTTCCTTTGTACGGAGAGCTCCCTTCACACCTTACCAGTGTTTTAAACTAACATAATAACCATTCCAAGTCTAACATTAATATCCAAGCAATTCGTATGTTGAATATCCATCATCGTACAACATACATTCGATCCCAAAAAAATGTCTAATAAGTCCTAATTACATGCCTTTTGTTCAAAAAGAATATACAAGTTTTGTTTTACCAAATATACAAGGCAAATAGGTGAAAAAATCTGATTTTTTTCACTTTTAACTCCCTTTTTTATACTTAGTGTACAATGTGCCTCGTGTCACTTTTCTATTGGTTGAAAATCTAAGAGAGTCAATTACAATGTGCCACTTGTCTACTTAGATAAGATTAGTTGACTAGTCTTTTAATTATATTGTGGGTCCTGCGAATAAAGCCCAAGTTGCTAGAATTTTAATCGCGGATTTTGCCTCGTTTTACGTGAAAATTATGACAGTCTCAAAATTCAATGAAAATTGATTGACTAATTCAATTTCGTGAGACGAATTCAACAGTGAGGTATGTTTTGTCATCTGCATTATATAAAAATTCAGATTTTTAACTCGTACTTGAAC